GAGAGAGAGAGAGAGAGAGGCCGGTTTTAATCCAACCATCACCGATCCACCAAACCCTTCAATCTCGAGACAAAAATCCCCCTCCATTGTGGGAGAAGCCGCAAGAGGTAAGCTATTTTTTTCCTATATGTTTGTTTGTTGGGAGCTTGCGTGCTGATGAATCTGTGAATTTCTTGTCAATGCATGTGGATTTTTAGGCTGGGAGATTTTTGGGATGGTACGACGACAGCGGTGATGATGTCAATGGCGCTGGGGTTGAAGAGGAGGTGAGGAGGGAAGCTGAACGTCTCTTCAAATTGATTGGCGAGGCTTACAATGTGCTTTCGGATCCGACTAAGGTAAGTAGTTCTCAGTGTTGGCTTGTTCGCTGCAAATGATTTGAAGCAAAGTGATTGGTCTGTTGCCATTCAAAAAAGAAAGCTGGCCCGAAAACAAAAGAGGGGTATCTACCTTCCAATCATGTCTGTTTTGGATTTTGTGTCCAGTTGTGGAGGTCAGGCCAACTGGAGGTGCTGTTGACTCCAAGCCTGCCTTATTTTTTTTTTTTCATGATCGCCATTGTGGAACTGACCGGCTCTGGAGCAATTCAGGAATGCCATTCACTTAGTCAAAAGCTGGAGTCGAATTAGGCTCAATATTTCAACAGTTCAGGGGTGTACCAACTTAGTGAGGATCGCTGTTGTCTTGCCTTGTGAGTTCTATGCTTTTTTGTTTCAATGAAGGGTGAAAAAGCATAGGAGGGTAGCGACCAGACAAGTGGGGCTTCACATGGGAACGCGATAGGCATGTGTTGTAAATTGTTTGGACTAGAATGGTAGGGGGTTGACATTTGTGAATGGATTCACACTGCAAATTTTATCAGACCCTGTTCCAGGGTCCCCTATTATTCCAGTCCCCAAACCCTACCGGTAGCTGAATCTTAGGGTCTGTAGGTGTAGGCGTTGCAGGTCAGTGAGTACAGTACCTGTAGGAGCATGCCAGTCCCCAAAGTCCAAAATTTGCAGCAGCCTACCAACGGAAGTTGGGAACTTTCCCAAAACAGCAAATTGGCAAGGCAGAGGCCGAAGGAGGCCAGCACCGAATGAAGCAGGCACAGCCAGCCCACTTCAGTGCCAGAGGACAGTTAGTTGTCATTTCGCAAATTTGTGGAAGCTGTTGGAGCTTGTGCGGACTAGCGACCTGGACGAAGAAGTGCGCTGAAGGGAGGAAGAAGACCAGCGCCCTGGCTGTGACAGACCACCATAGCCAGGAGAGGGGAGATGAAGTGTCGCCCGTTGTTGTGAGGCACACCGCAGAGGCATTCAGGGTAGATCCAGGACATTGTAGAGGGAGGAACAGTAGCAGGGAGCATCGCTGGATGAACAGTGCAGAGATGTGAGTGGAGAGATAGAGTAAGAGAGGGAGAGAAGAACCAGATTGGAGGGGGAGATTTGCAGCGGTGGAGACAGCCAAGTCCCGAACTTTTTCAATTGTATATTATTTGTACTTCGGGTGGAATTTCGAATTGGCACTGGTCATGGCCATAGCCCAAGCTTGTGAGTTCTTTATCTGAATGCTCCCAATTTGCATGTGGTATTTTGAGTTGGATCTTAGGGAGGCCATCTCACACAGAGAAGCAAATTGAGCGTTTGCAGCTTCATCTGCAAGCAATAAACTAACGTTTGCAGACGTATGAAATGCTTTCGACGAACAGACAGCATCTAATTATCACTGTGTCGGGGAAGAGGGGAAGGTTGTAACTGACCTCTGCAAGTGTGGTGAATATCTTCTTGTGTAGAGTGCAATGCTGCACGCTGTCATGCTTGACGAGATGGGCAGTAGGTTATTAGGGCGAAAATGTGGGTGAGACAGCGAGGGGAAGCGACGGGTTTCCTCAGGCCATCCCATACAGGCGAAGTGGAGAGAGAGTGAGAGGGGGACATAGAGAGAGATGCTCCTTGCAGAGCCAAAAACAAGGGTAGGAAAGAGGGTGGGGGGTGGCCCTTCTACAGTGTCCATGTCGAGAAATCTTGGAAAATGTTTGCCAAACAAAAAAACAAAAAAAACTCGCTCAAAACTTGAAAAAAACAAAAGAAAGAATTTCAAAGGCTCGAAAAAAAAAAAGAAAAAAAAAAAAAGGCCGATGACTCAGTGAGTTTCACAAAAATTACAAGTGAGGTGCAAAATTAATTCAAGCGGGTTGTGCAACAATCGCGGCAGCAATTAATTTGAATCAGTTTTGTTGTGAAAGCTGATATATTAAACTTTGGAGACCTCCAAAAGAAGGCAAAACAAAACCGGACTTCTATTATGTCTCATATATTTGACATATTGATTTGCCTTCAGTTCAGCCATACCTTGTGGGAAAAAGGGGATTTGATCCCCCAACTTCTGGCATGACAGACCAGCATTAACCAACTAAGCTTGTTTTCTCCTGTGCGAACCCTCTATCTGAGTTCGTTACCATTGACAGCAGTGGATTGGTTACCACTTGCCCTTATGTTAGTTTGGGCGGGATCCATGCTCGGTTGATTAAAAAACGGTTCGGAGGGTGGGAAAACACAACTCCTGACAAGATTTGTCGACAAGTTTCAAATTTTGATACGTGCTGGAAAGATTCTTAAAATTTTAATCAGATTCTACAAGGTTGCAGAAATAGTGATCGTTATCAAATCTTTTGAAATTCAGGTGTATTTCGTGGATATCAACCGATGGCAGGCACGGATTTGATTTAAAAAAAAAAAAAAAAAAAAAAAAAACTCATTGCTGCGCAGTGTTTGGCGTTCTCACCTTTCTTTTTTTTATCAATCAAATCAAAGGTTGTGCATGCGCATGTAAGGGAAGGGAGAGTGCAGTATGTGTGTGTGTGTGTGTGTGTGTGTCTGTGTGTGTCTGTGTGTGTGTGTGTGTATTCTGGACACACCATGGCACGAAACACCATGCCAGACTAGCTCCGACATTCCGTCGGCAATCCAAAGGACTAGCAGCGACAGCACATTCAACGGAAACTCCTACGAGGTTGACTAGGGGCGAGAACGATTTGTGAGATTGCTAAGCCGGGTGTACATGGTCCTAGGGAGGAAAAAGGAATGGGGAAGAGGAAAGGGTTGTGTGTGTGTGTGTGTGTGTGTGGAGCGAAGACATAAGGCAAGGAAGGCATTGGATGACCAGCAGCAGCAAGTGACATTGGCTGGAGGACACAGGGGAGGCAGGTGGGCAGACGGGTAGTATGTAGCAAGACAAACAGCATGAGGCAGCAAAGCGCATAGGCTGGGGGGCATGGGGGAGGTGGGTGGGCAGGCAAACAGCACAATGCGACAAAGCACATCGGGTGAAAGGTACAGAGTACGTGGATGGGCAGGTAGACAGCGTAAGGCAGGGAGGGAATCGACAACAAGCCAACCTTTATAAGGCCAAAACAGCATCCGAAAAAATACAAGTACAAAAATGGCAAAGGCTGAAGAAATAAAAGACTGATGATAGATTGTTTCATCGGAGTCGCACAGACTCATCAGGAGGCTCAACCCTCGACGATCTGCAGGATTATGAACCCTCTGACCCATGGTGAAGGCAGACTGTCCCCAAGCGGAACATAGCAGCGGGCAGCAACCCTGTGGCGCACCACGCAACAGGGCTGCACAACGCCAAAAATGACTGCAAGGAACGACATGGCACGCAGGACATGCAGCGCAGCAACCGTGTAGTGAAGCACAAGACAACCCAAGCAAGGCAACCACACTGCAAGGGACGACAGAGTGAGCGGACCGGCAGCTCGGCAACCGTGGAGCAGAGCACAAGGCACCACCAACAAGGCAACCAACCTACAAGGCACACCAGAGGCAAACACGGAAGGCACGGCCAGCCGATGGGCAGCAAGGCAGCAAAGCGCAAGGCAATACCGACAACATGGCCAGACCAAACAGTGAGCACAGCAATTTGCAGAGAACCATGTGAAGCAAGCAGGACAGGCAGCAAGGTGGCGGTAGAGCGCAGACGAGGCAGTCCACACATCCAACACGGAGCAAAGCAGCGCATGACCTGCTCACATCAGTATTGAACCCCGCAGACTGTTGGTTCCCACCACCCACTGAGCCAGGGAGTCACTCCGACGAGCATCCGTCATCACCCACAGGCAACACAGACATCCCGAACCGAGCGGCCCCCCTAAGAATGCAGTAGGCACTCTAAACTAGGAACCACAGACTGTTTGGCACTACTTAAGGGTGCTCAGTTGGGCACAGAAGAAAAAAAAAAACAGAGGGAGGACAGACAACATGAGAAAGACTGACAGACAGAAAACTGATGGGCTTTTTTTTTTTTT